CTGTACTGTAGTACTGTTGTTTAATTTACTTTTTTAAAACTTTTTTATGGTGATTAATTTAAGGAAAATGTCATTTTCAATAACAATAACATTACAGAGTATATAATATAACAGTATATTAGTCTCCGTGACCTTGTGCTGCAGCTGTAGCTTCATGCTGTGCTCACAGGTGCAGCTCCAAAGCCTTTTGTTGGGATCCTGAACATCACGGAGGACGGGGCGCTGCTGAAGTGTGAGGTTCCAGGTGCTTTTCCAAAGCCTTTGGTGGAGTGGAAGGACAGCGATGGAAACATCCTTCCCGCTGAGGAGCCACAGGTGTCGTACAGAGGAGACCGCTACTACGTCACCCTCCTCATTGCTGTGACCAAGACAGACACCAACGTCTTCCGCTGTGTAGCCACACAGCAGGAGATCAGCCATGTGACTGATGATGATATCTGCGTGCCTCACTGTGGTAAGATTTCTTCTTCTGTTCTCATTCTTGGTGGAATTTTCAGGTTTTAAATAGATGCTGTTTAACAGTAGTTCTGTCTACTGTTCTGTGCTGTATTAACTTTTTGTTTAACATGTTTCAGAGAAAACAGCTGAGCTGAAGTCTTGCTGTGGAGTGGCTGCGGTTGTAGCAGCATTTTGTGGTGGAGCTCTGAGTACTGCAGTTCTGTTTGTAGTTATAAAGTACATTAGAAGATGGCAGAGAGGTGAGAATAATGATGGATTTCATATTCAGCATTAATTTTGACATACAGTATGTGTGAGGTGTAAAATTCTCAGTATTTTATGGATGAATCTTTTGGTTTAATCATCATAATGCTCTGGATTGGCTGCAGTTCTTTTTTTTTTTACAGCAGGTAGTTTTAGGCATATTTATCTAATTTATCAAGCTAAAAAGAGAAGGAGTGATTCTTTTAAAAAAAAAACCAAAAAACTCTGAGTTATCTATTTGCCGCAGATGTAGCTTAATAAACTGTAAACTGAGGTACAAGAAGACATTTAAGGTGATGTTAGTGCTGAGCGATTGTCTCCACACTCTGACCATCTTATCGTCCTGCTGTATGATCACTAATGCTGTGTCCCATCAGCACCAGGGGCAGGTCAGTGGGTGGGTGATGGGCTTAACATGCAATTCAATTCAATTTTATTTATATAGCGCCAAATCACAACAACAGTCGCCTCAAGGCGCTTTATATTGTACAGTAGATCCTACAATATGACCCCCTATGAGCAAGCACTTTG